TCAGACTGCTCCTTAAGTATTCTAGGACAGATTTCATCAGGCCCTGATGACTTAATCTATCTCCATACAGACGCCATCAAGAATTCTGGGCCCTACACAAAGCCATGCAGTTATCTCCCCATGCTGGGGCATTTCAGAATAGCTTGTGCATAGGAAGGCATCTGCTTCTGAAGGTTTATGCCTAGATTTATGCAAATACATGGAAAGCTGCAATTCTTTAAGGCCAAAAGGATGTGGGCAGGTCTGGAAGAGGGAGAGATTTGCAGGCGGCAATGGCAAAACGCTAACACAGACAGACATGACCCTGGAGATAGCTACATGGCACCACAGGCAAACGAAAAAAGCCAATACCAACCCTGCTGGCAATGGGGGAATGCTGATCGCACAGAGCTACCCACTCCTTTCTGGCTGGTGGGGAATCCGGAGCGGAAGGCCCGGGCACTTGGTGTCAGTGGGTTAAGCAAGACCAGTACTACAGAGGGAGAGAAAGTGACCCAGCTGGGAGTCCCCTATTCATCTCCCCTAAGGCAAAATCCATCACCCAGCTGACCGCCCCAGGGCGGGGAAGGACACACACATTTAGCTAGTCAGGAACGGAACTTCTCCGGAATAGATTTCTTCACTTGCCCCCTATGCTCAGCCCTATCACCACGAGGCCACCAAGCCACACAATGGCAAGCCCTCTGGCCACAGCTCACAAGGGTTTGTGGTGAGCTTTACAGAATGGTGGCTCTTTCGTCTCTTCCATCTCAGATCCCAAGGCCAGAAAGGACCATTGTGATCATCTGACCTGGCCTCCTGTGTGACACAAGACAGTGAACTTCCTCCGAATAATTCCTAGAACTGATCTTTTAGCAAAACACTCGATCTGGATTGATCAATTGCCAGCAACAGCGGACCCATCAGGACCCTTGGTAAGTTGTTCCAATGGTTAACAATGGTGACTGTTAAAAATGCATGCCTTCGCTCCAGTCTGAATTTGTCTAGCTTCAACTTCCACCCATTGCATCATGTTAGACTTTTCTCTGAACCCTCTCTCATTTCTCAATGTCCTTCTTGAACTGTGGATACCAGGGCTGGACACAAGATTCCAGCAGCATCGCACCCGTACCAAACCTATCTATATCTATTTATCTATCTATCTAGACAGATATAGACATATTAGCAGGGCTCGACAAATCAGTGCATCTACTCGCCAGTGGTGAGTAGATTTCAGCCGGTCACCCCGTTTACCGGCGGTGCGCGCTTGCGCAATGCGGGGCTAGTGAGTAGATTTCGCTGCGGTTTGTCAAGCCCTGTATATTAGAGTGTGTCTGTCTGTAAGTCCATCTGTCTGCGAGTCTGTTCAAGAACTCCTCCCAAACGGTAAGAGCAAGGGCCACCGCATTTGATATTCAGCTCCCTCTTCTCCTAACTTAAGTAAGGTCAAGGTTTGGTTGTGCCAGGAATATGGGAAGTCCCTGGAATAGGACTGTTTTCCATAACATGGAAAGGGAGGGGGCTGAAAAGAGGGAAGCAATACTCACTGTGGCCACTGGGGGCAGCTAAGACAAGGAAGAGCTATCCTGCAGAGGGACCCCGGGGGGCAGCCGTACCACCAAAGGAGTGACCACCTGGGGCTGGAGCTCAGTATCTTGCCTGCCACCCCCACCCCAACCCTTTCCCAACCCCAGCCCTTGGTCTGCCAGAGGGGGAGCTAGGGGGAGAGAGAAGACTCCTGCCAGCTGGGGGACCTGAGGGGAGACAGAAAGCTGCAACTGGACGGGATCCCCACCCTGAGCCCCTCCTCACCCCCCAACCCTCAACTCTCATACCCCCCACATCCCCAGTCCCATGTCCAGAGCAATTCCTCAAACCCCCTCCCTGACTCCTGGACCCTCTACGCCCCCACCCTCTTGCCTGTCCCCCACATACACAAAGCCTGACTCCTGCACCCCCACACCACTACCCCCCTGCCCTGAAGGACCCAGGCAACACTGGGTAAGTCTTCCAGTCTCTCTGCTCCTACTCTAGATTCCCTGTTCATGCATCCCAGGACCGTGGTAGCCCAGGGCTTTGCACTGGGAACTCGTGTTCAGCTGACTGTCCACCATGCCAGGTTTTCAGAGTCACCGCTTCCCAGGACAGAGTCTCCAGCCCTGGTAAGCATGGCCTGCGTTCATTTGCCTTAGCCGATTTAAAATGCATACTGCTCCTCAAGCCTGACGTTTTATTTTAACGAAAAGAAAAGAACCAAGGCTTACAGGGCCAGAGCGTGGAGTCGTGTTACTGATAACACACCAGATGAGGATCAGGAGCTTAGACCCCGAATCGTATTTCCCCCCCCCCCCCCAATCAGCCACCAATCCTGGGGAGGGAAGGGCAGGGGAGAGTTCCATCAAACACTGAGGCCGTGTCCAGACTCAGGGGTTTTTTCGGGAAAAGTAGCCTTTTCCCGAAAAAACTTCCCCTGCGTCCAGACTCAAGCCGCGTTCTTTCGAAATTATTTCGAAAGAACGCGGCTTTTCTTTCGATGGCGGTAAACCTCGTTTCACGAGGAAGAATGCCTTCCTTCGAAAGTTCCTCTTTCGAAAGAAGGCGTTCTTCAATGTAAAGAGGCCGTCTTCGAAAGAGAGCATCCAGACTCGCTGGGTGCTCTCTTTCGAAAAAGCGGATTTCTCTTTCGAAAGATCCGCCTGCAGTCTAGACGCGATCTTTTGAAAGAGCCTCTTTCGAAAGAAGCCTGCAGTCTAGACATAGCCTGAGAGAAAAACCAACATGGAAAATTCGGCCTTTTCACTGAAACCAGATTTTTCGTGTTTTGGTTGAAACTCAAAACAAGTTTCAGCATTCAGCATCCGAAGACCGGCAGCAAATTGCGTCTGTCTCATGCCTTCCCCCCGACACAGCCATCGGGGGGCCTAATTCGACCAATTTTCAGCACATTTAGGCAGCGCTACTCAGACACTGGCAATTCTGCTGTCCAGCACTGCTCTGAGACGCCCACCTCAGCAACTCTGAAAATGGGGCTCCCGCCGCTCCGATGTAATGTAATGTCGGCATCTCGCTTCCGGCGCTGCCGTTACACTGGCTCTGTGCGGATCTGCATCGCCAGTTATTTTCCCTCGGATTCATTAGCTTGCATTTTCCCGCACTGTATCTCATTATGCTATTTCCTAGCTGGGATCCTAATCTCTCTAGGTCTCTCTCTCTCTCTGCGTTCTCTCTTCCCCCTGCTGTTCAAATAACACGTCGTGGTTTCACAGCATCTGCCAGGAGAAGAAATGCGCTTTTCATCCCCTCTTGCAGAGCGCCGCACAAGAGGGGGAAGAATGGTCCTGTAGCCATGGCAGCAGAGAGATGCTGGAGTGGTAACCAGGGACTAGAACAGTGACTAACCCATGGCCACCCAGGACCGTGCTGCTACCCCAGTGCCACTCAGCATGGCTGCCTACAACTTTGCAGGAGCGGACACACAACTCAGACCCTCCAGAAGCCCGGAGGAGAATCAACCCAGTCGGTGGCCCTCGATCGTCCCCCTCCGCCACCAGCCACTAGAGGGCAATGGAGTCGCACGCACTGGCCAGTAAAGCCACGAACAGACTCCTCCACCGTTAATTCATCTACAGGCCAAATCCCAGAGGAAGGAACTGGGATTGCTCACAGCTCTCTGGGTTTGGCCCTCGGCTAGCGTTGTCCGCTGCTCCCATTTATCAGAGAGCAGGGCTTCCCCAGAGCACCGCAATGCTTACCGGCCTACCAGGGCGAAACCGGCCTAGACTACCCCGCACGCTGGGTCACAGGATCAGATGTGTAGTTGATTATTACAGTTAATTGAAAACATGAATTAAAGTCAAGACTGCATCAAGCCACCGGACCCCACTCCCAAAGTCGGCGCGCTGCCGTTCCCCTTCCCCCCTCTCTGACGGGAGTTATGCCCCCCCCCGTCTTCCCTTTCACAGCCAGAGGCACCACCACCGCCACAGAAATACGGCCCCGAATCTCAACTCTTTCTCTAGGGCTTGCGTTTGCAAGAGCAACGTGCCGCACGCACGGGAGCGCCGAGCGACAGAATGTGGTCGGTGGGTAATGGGGTTTAGAAAGGGGACGGCCAGTTCTCCCGAGCGCAGCTGGCCCCCGACGATGGTCGTTTCAGTGGCCGTATTGTTCCCTGCTGACCGTGTCTGCAAAAATTCCCAAATGGGTGCTTCTCACACAACCCTCAACTGCCTCCCACCCCTTCCCGGCTACCAGCTGTGCCCTAGCCAGCTGGCAACGGCCAGCGCAGCTACACGTCAGCAGCACAAAGCTCCCTGGCATGTTGAAAATTAACAGGTGGCGTGAAACACTTCAGGCCAGATCGTCGGCTCATCCAAACCGGCGCCTCCCGAGGATCTAGCCCAGTGAATGCAAAACAAAAGGGGGCCGCAGAAGGCATTCGGTGCCGACTGGGTTATTCAGCTTCATACTGAATTAAAGACAATCCCCCGTCTCCCTTTTTTAACGTAGTGCAGTGCTTCTCCTCTGCTGCCCATCAGAACCCCCCGGACTCTGCAGCAGAGCTTAGATCCAGCATGCTGCAGACGGCACAGACTTGCTCTTCCCCAAACCAGCCTCCACCCTTCTTCCAAGAAGATTCCGGGCAAGGGACACTGCAGCAAATGCTTTGCTGAACCCCCGATGCTCTGCAGGACGGTCCCCCGGCCCGCTTGACTCTCGCCGAAAAACCCACTGGCAGGTTTGTCCCTTCTAAAGCCCCTCCTGCCCGTTTCTCATGGCTGTTCCCCTGCAAATTCACTTTCCGAGAGTCCGGACCAAAGAACACCCCATGCTGGCCCAGCACGTTTCTTGCTCCGCCTCTAGTGGCCAGATCCCGTTCAGCAGCGAATGAGTCTCTATGCTCCCAAGCCGTCTGGTCTTTTCGGGCAAGTGGCAGAGTCCTCCCTCCTCTCCTCCCCCACCCCACGGGTTGTCCCAGCAGGGAGTGGTCGGAAGTCAGGCGAGTGTGGTCATCGACTTACCCCTGGTTCGTGCCCCACTCGTTCCGGATACAGAGGTGCTTGTGTACGGGGTCCTTCATGTATCCCTCATAGCAAAGACACTCACCTAGGCACGGAGGGAGGGAAAAGAAGGGAGAATGAACCAATCGTACTGGCCACGGCTGGAGACCGGCTACTAGACTAGAAGGCCCGATGGGCCGATCCAGACCAGGAGGAACCCACCTCATGAGAGTCTGAGGGTTATGGCGTTGAAATCCCACCCCTGGGTACCAGAGGCTGAAGTGCAGAGATTGTGCGACTGCATCAGCTCCGTCCCTCCCTCCCCTGCCATCTACAGGGGGTGCCGTGGCAACCGTAAGGTAAGCCCTCCCGCCAAAACACGTCTCCTCTTCTCCTCCACGCAGGCCTCGCTACAACTGCCAGCAGCAGCCGCCCAGCCCTGCTCGAAAGGCCTGGAGCTGGTGGCTGTCACGGCCAACGGCAGGCACCAACAA